ACCCTTGTTCACATGCTAGACCCCCTCAAAGAATACTAATAGATTGGTGAGGCATGATTTCCCTTTACAAAACCCGTGTTGACTCTTCCCCAACATATTGTGTTCATCTGTTTGTCTGATAATTCTGTTCTTTATTATAGTTTCAACCAATTTGTCTGGTACTGAAGTTAGGCTTACCAGCCTGTAATTGCCAGGATTGCTTCTGGAGCCTTTTAAAAAAAATCTGCATTGCATTAGCTATCCTCCACTCACCTGATAGCGGCTGATTTACGTGATATGTTACATAACCTAAAAAGAATAGTGTGACAGGGCCCAGCGTGTCGAGTTAGGGTGCCCACGTCGACCCAGTGCGAGGTTTGTACACCCCATCACACAGTCATCGGGATTCCCTGTTAAGTGGGTGATTCCAGTCAAGTGGGTCCTGGCCCCCTGCCAGGATCACTTAGACAAATAGTCCGTGGGTCCCAGGGCAGGCAAAACAAACAAGCAGTCTGAAGCCCTGCAGCCTCCTGGATGGGGCAGGCAATAGGACTTGGGGAATTAGCCCCCTGGCCAGGGCAAAACATCATTCAGTGTATGGCCCCTGGGTGGGGAAAACAAACAAACAGTCTATAGGCCTTACTTCCCTCTGGGCTGGGACATAGAGCAAGCAGCAGCCTCCTCAGCAGGCGGTGGCTTGGCTTCCCCGGCAATCTCCGCCATCAGCGAAACGCCTGGAGCGTAGTCTGGGTGTTTGGGCTCTACCACCAGGACTATCGCAGGAATCAGCAGTATACGTCCTTTCCTCTCTGTCGTCCACTCCGACTGACCTGGGCTGCCTCCTTTTATCCAGCTTCTCCACCTGGAGCATGCGCAGCAGGGGAAAGGGGGCGTGGTTGCCTGGGCCCACAATGATTGGTCCGCCCCCGGTGGCCCAGTGTGGGGTTGGTACACCCCATCACAGGTGGCTCAAGTGTTGGAATCTTCCTCACATCCTCTGCAGTGATGAGCAATGCAAAGAATTCATTTAGCTTCTCTGCAACTGCCTTGTCTTTGAATGCTCTTTTAGTACCTTGATCATCCAGTGGTCCTGCTAATTGTTTGGCAGGCTTCCTGCTTCTGATTTATTACATTTTTTTTTTTGCTCCATTAGCTATCTTCAAGAACCCATAGAGGACAAGTGAGGTCCCATAGGAATGGAAAAGGACAAACATAGTATCCAGCTTTAAAAAAGGGAGAAAAGGAAGGACCTGGAGAATAATAGGCAAGCTAGCCTAACTTCAGTACCTGGAAAGATACTGAAACAAATTATTAAACAATAAGTTAATAACAATAATAGAGGATAATAAGGTGATAAGCAATAGCCAGTATGGATTTGTCAAGAACAAATAATCCCAAACCAATGTTATATCCTTCTTTGACAGGGTAACCAGCCTAATAAATAGAAACAGTAGACATGATATAGCTTGACTTTAGTAAGGCTTTTGACACAATTCCACGTGACATTCTCATAAGCAAACTAGGGAAATATTGTCTACGTGCAATTACTATAAGGCGCTTATATAACTAGTTGAAAGACTGTACTCAACAAGTAGTTATCAGTGGTTCACTGTCAAACTGGGAGGATGTACCAAGTAGTATTTTGCAAAGGTCTGTTCTGGGTCTGATAGTATTCAGTGTTTTCATTAATGACTTGAATGATGGAATGGAAAGTGTGCTTATAAAATTTGCATTTCAAGCTGGGGAGGGGTTGCAAGCACTATGGAGGATGGGACTAGAATTCAAAATGATCTTGATAATTTAGAGAATTGGTCTGAAATCAATAAGACAATATTCAGTAAAGACACGTGCAAGGTACTGCACTTAGGAAGGAAAAATCAAATGCACAGATACAAAATGGAGAATAACTGAATAGGCATCATTACTGCAGAAGAGTCCGAGGGCTATAGTGGATCACAAATTTAATATGAGCCAACAGTATGATGGTGTTGTGAAAAAAGCAAATAGTATTCTGAGCTGTATTACACAGGAGTGTCATATGTAAGACATTGGAGGTAATTGTTCTGCTATACCCAGCACTGTTGAGGCCTCAGCTGGAGTACTGTGTCCATTTTTTGGCATCATACTTTAAGAAAGATGTGGACGAATTGGAGGGAGTCCAGAGGAGAGCAGTAAAAATGATAAAAGGTTTAGAAAACATGTCCTATAAGGAAAGGTTGAAAGAACTATGTATGTTTAGTGTAGAGAGGAGAAGGCTGAAGGGGGACCTGGTAAGTCTTCAAATACGTAAATGGTTATTATGAAGAGGACATTATTCAATTGTTTTTCATGTCCTCTGAGGATAGGACAAGAAGTAATTGGCTTAGTTTGCAGTATGGGAGTTTTAAGTTGGCTATCTCTAACTATAAGAATAATTAAGCAGTAGAACAGGGATTTTTCCCTGATGTCTTTAGCTTCCCTTATCAATTTTCTACACTTCATAGTTGGTAATTTATAATGTTCACAATCTACATCATGTTTTTTTTCCATTTGTTATATAGTGTGTGTTTGTTTCTAATTTCTGTCTTCACTTCCCTCTTAACTAGGATGGGCTTTTAACCCAGTTGTTCTCTTCTGTGACTGAGGAATTGTGGCTTTTGGGCTGTCTTGTAAACTCTTCTTAAACAATTGCAATGTTCATTCATATTTTGCTCTCTAAATTCTTCCTTCCCATCAGTTTTGCTCATAATTCTTATTTTCTTCATCTTCGGAAAATTAGGTTCCAAGTATATCTGTTATTTAGCTGGGATTATCCTCTGTTTGTCCATAATTAATGTAATGAGGTCTTGGTCACTGGTCCACTGACAACCACAACTTCCAGTCCAGTGATCAGCTCATAATAATGAGGGTCCAAAATAGTTATCTTAGGTGTTTCATCTTTTCTTTCAGAATATTGTCACCTATGATAGAAACTCTGATGGTGTTTTATTACTGGCTGCATGAGACCTGCAGCATATATTTCACATAACACAATTTTTCCTAACACAAATTGCAGACAGGCACTTTAAGGAGCAACTTGTCCTTTTGTCTAAATTGATTCAGTCATCTGCAACAGCCCCCCTTGAGCTTTATTAGTTAGCAAATTGATCCACATGCATTCAAGATTCTGCTGTTCTGAACTATCAATAATTCTAAAACAGGTAAGGGTTTGCTTAATGTAGAGTGTCAGTCCCCACCTCTTTTACTCACTATATCTCTCCTAAATAGATTGTAACCAGTGATGTTAACATTCCAGTAAAGGGAAGCATCCACCCAGAGGTCGGTAATGCCAGTTGTCAAATTTCTTCTCACCAGTGAGAATTTCCAGTTCCTTCTGCTTATTACCCAGACTCCTAGCACCGTTGTATAAGAAATTTAAAAAATTATTTTCTTTACGTTCTTTGCTACTTAGGTTCAATATGTTCCTAGCACCTGGAGTCTGAGTTTGTAATGCTTTTGACCCTTTAACATTATTCCCTTGCATTATATTTTTATATATATGAACCAAAGATGAGGCTGGGAATATGTTTGTGAGTGCGCACTCGTGCACTTTTAAGTCAGATGTAGTACTGAGTGAAAATGCTTTATGTACTTAAATACAATGATTTTCATTCAGGAGGAAAAAGAATAAACTATGCATTAAAATTGAACAAGAAAAAATTCAAATGTACTTGGAAATAAGTACTCTTGCAGACTATATTGGGAGGGAAATGAAAAGATGCAGTAAAGGAGGAAGAAAAATGATTTAGGATTAATGCGTTCAGATTCTTTGAGCATGATATAAAAGTTTCGTTAATTACAAACTAAAAAAAAAAGTAGGTTTTTAAAGTAAAGAAATAGCTCTGGGTCAGAGGGAACGAAGAAGTGTTTTAAGAAGATGAAGTAGCCAAATGGAAATTTGATTCTAGCCATCATATGTGGGGGAAGACTCAAAAAGAAGGCATTATTAGTAGAGTTTTGTGGGCAGACAAAGAAAGTAGATAAATGTGAGGTGTCAGAAACAGATCATTTGAGCTTTGTCAGATTTTCTTATCATTATCAGCACACCAGCTTGCTTTCTCCCCAAATTCTCACCAGGAACTTTTCTAATAACTAAATCAAATTATTTCTGCAGCCTGTCAGAACTGTATTGCCCATGTTGGTTGAATCTTAATGGTTTATAACCCATCTTTAATGTTGGAATTCAGTGATTATATGAATATTCCTTAAATTAGGGAAACTGGCACAGGAAAATACACATTCTCTCTCTCTGAATTTTCTCAGGTTTGGTCTTCCAAGTTTTTGTACTGGTAGCAAGAGACAACTTTAAAGCTCAATCCTGCAAGATGCAGAGCACATTCTTGGAGTGCTATTGCGCACTCTCACTCATATGGCAGTCTAGATTACTTAGCACATTACAGAATAGAGCTTTAAATGATTTAAAAGACTGATGCACATTTGGTTAGTGCACTTAAATTGGAATAAACCAATTTAATTCTTTTAAAGTAGGTAGTGTTAAATAATATTCTTCAGTTACAATAAGTACTCCGTCCTGTAAAAATGAGGTTGCTAAGAAGTGTAATATTTTTACTAATTCAGTGTTTAAACATTTTCCATTTCCCTTTCTAAACATGCTAGTTTCTAATTTTTCCTGCTTGTTAGTGATATAGTTGTGATATAGAATTTGATTTGATATGCTTGGCACTGTATCTTGGAAAATCATCTCCTAAGCATGCGCATACATATCAGCTGATTTCACAAGTTGCATAGTGGTAAACACATGCTTATCTCCAATCAGAACTGATTTATAAATTAAACATTATTTAACTTCTCTTTTTAATTAAGCAGTATGAGGAAATAGGATATATTCACAAATAGGAGAAAAGCATATTGGCTTACATATTTGTTCTTAGAGACTAAATTCTTTTTTAAATTGTTGGTTCGAATCAGTTTTGTGTATGTTTTAAAACTGCATCTTTTAAATTGTTAACTTTAACTTAGTTATCTTTGCATTTGCTTTTCAGAATTTATTGTTCACAGATGAAAATGATAATTCAGAAATAAAAATAATTGATTTTGGATTTGCTCGGTTAAAACCACCTGATAATCAGCCTCTTAAGACTCCATGTTTTACTCTTCATTATGCTGCTCCAGAGCTCTTGAATCACAATGGTTATGACGAATCCTGTGATCTCTGGAGTTTGGGGGTCATTTTGGTGAGTGTTTGGTTGTGTGGCTTATTTATTTTAATCATTCTATAACACAAGCAAAATTGATTCCTTGTTAAAACTAATGTCTGGAGAGGGCTTGACACTGTCCCAGATAAACTAGAATTGGATGGACACTGCTTTGGAGTGGAGTGAGGATATATTTTTCCTGCACATATAGTAGCAAGCTGGGATGTGTATTGGAGGCATTTAAGAAGGTAGAGCTAGAGCCAGCTTTCAGGTTTTTTCTGAGCAATTTGATTAAATTATTTTCCTTGGAATGTTCACCTGTTAAAACAGCTTGGATGTGTGAAGGAAATAATAAGTCGATTATGAGACCTCTATAAATTTATATTATGCTCTTAAAACTGTTCCGGTTCAGATAAAGACCCAACCTACATTCTGTTTTACAGAAAAAATTATTTTGAAAAATAAGTAAATGGTATAGGCTTTCCCACTGCATAAAATCTGTATGTTTTCAACATTCCTGAGACATGTAAGCCATGTTGCTTACAAGGTCTCTAAATAAAGACCTGTTGTGCTTTAGACCATGTACACCTTAAAGAGAAAATATAACTCTTATTAAAGTACCATTAGTTGGAATATATACGCTGTTGCTAACTCTGCAAGTAACAATATCTGAATATTGAGTTAGTTAGGTTAATGTGTAATCAGTAATGTTGTAGTAAAGTTGGCAATAAATATATGATACTAATTAGTACTAGTTTTGTTCTCCTGGTAGTATACAATGCTGTCAGGACAGGTACCCTTCCAGTCTCAAGACAAAGGTTTAACATGCATCAGTGCATTGGAAATTATGAAGAAAATTAAAAAGGGAGAATTCTCCTTTGAAAGAGAAGCCTGGAAGAATGTATCTCAAGAAGCCAAAGATTTGATACAAGGTAGGTATCCATAGATATTTCATATTTTCCTTTTAGTTGCAGTGACCAGAGAAAAGTACCATACTGTATACTTTTGTGTTCTTCAGTTTTTGGTGCTTTATTAATATTAATTTAAGTTTATAAGGAAACCAAAGTAGTCTTTTTGTTACAAGCAGTAATTATCAGCTCATCCATAATCAATGTCTATAATTTTTTAGGGATGTCAGTTATTGAACACTTGATTTATTATTGTTGATTTATGAATGTTTTATAACAAGTACTTAGTTCATTTCTCTGTTAAAAAGTATTTTGTACAACCCTGTGTCAACATTGTATGAGCTATATCTAAAGTGATATATAATCATGACTCATCAAATGATTCAAGTTTTATGTTTTCAAATGATTACTTTATCCACAGTATTAAAAAGATAAATAATAGCTCCTGGATTAAGAATATATTTAATATATATATAATATATTTCTGTTAGGACTTCTTACAGTGGATCCAAATAAAAGAATTAAAATGTCCAGCTTGAGATATAGTGAATGGCTTCAAGATGGGAGCCAGCTGTCATCCAATCCTCTAATGACTCCTGATAACTTAGGCTCTTCAGGAGCTGCTGTACATACATACGTCAAAGCAACCTTTCATGTAAGCTTAAAAACTCTTGTATTTTAATTATAAATATTAAACATTTGCTATATTATATCAGCCTAGAATTTGGATTTACATGAATTTTTTTATTTAAAAAATGTATTTACATTTAGAGTTCTATGATAGGTGTATAGGAAGTTACAGAAATATAAGGCCTATATAATATGTTGACTTGTATCAATGGCCAAAAACCTACATGAGAGAATATAATGAAACACATGTCAAAATGGGAAGTTGAGAGAGGAATATAGATTTTGACAGCATATTTATATCACTGAGGAAAGTGATGGTGGTGAAACAGCTACCATAAATATACAAGTTTAGAGAAGGTCCTTAAACAAAGCTTTGTAAGATATGTGTAACGTTCTGGTTACACTTAGCACTTGCTTGACTTTCAGTTTAATTGCCCTTCTTGTGATTAGGAAAGAGAAAATTAATCGCCATTTTAATTGCATTATTAAATGAATACCAATTGAAATTTATTAAATATTTTTGGATGTTTTTCTACATTTTCAAATATATTGATTTCAAATACAATACAGAATACAAAGTGTACACTCCTCACTTTATATTATTATTTTTGATTACAAATATTTGCACTATAAAAATGATAAACATAAGAAATAGTATTTTTCAATTCACCTCATACAAGTACTGTAGTGCAATCTGTTGTGAAAGTGCAACTTACAAATGTAGAATTTTTTTTGTTACATAACTGCACTCAAAAACAAAACAATGCAAAACTTCAGCGCCTACAAGTTCATACAACCCTACTTCTCGTTTAGGCAATCGCTAAGATAAACCAGTTTGTTTACATTTATGGGAGATAATGCTGCCCACTTCTTATTTACAATGTCACCAGAAAGTGAGAACAGGCGTTCACATGGCACTTCTGTAGCCGGCATTGCAAGGTATATACGTGCCAGATATGCTAAACATCCGTATGCCTTTTCATGCTTTGGCCACCATTCCAGAGGACATGCTTCCATTCTGATGAAGCTTGTTAAAAAAATAATGCGTTAATTAAATTTGTGACTGAACTCCTTGGGGGAGAATTGTATGTCTCCAGCTCTATTTTACCTGCATTCTGCCATATATTTCATGTTATAGTAGTCTCGGATGATGACTCAGCACATGTTGTTCATTTTAAGAACACTTTCACTGAAGATTTGACAAAAAGCAAAGAAGGTACCAATGTGAGATTTCTAAAGATAGCTACAGCACTCAACCCAAGATTTAAGACTCTGAAGTGCCTTCCAAAATCTGAGAGGGACGAGGTGTGGAGTATGCTTTCAGAAGTCTTAAAAGAGCAACACTCCGATGTGAAAACTACAGAACCCGAACCACCAAAAAAGAAAATCAACCTTCTGCTGGTTGCATCTTACTCAGATGATGAAAATGAACATGCATTGGTCTGCACTGCTTTGGATTGTTATCGAGCACAACCCGTCATCAGCATGTCCTCTGGAATAGTGGTTGAAGCATGAAGGGTCATGTGAATCTTCAGCGCATCTGGCATGGAAATATCTTATGATGCCAGCTACAACAGTGCCATGAGAACGCCTATTCTCACTTTCAGGTGACACTTTGAACAAGACGCGGGCAGCATTATCTTCTGCAAATGTAAACAAACTTGTTTGACTGAGCGATTGGCTGAACAAGAAATAGGACTGAGTGGACTTGTAGGATCTAAAGTTTTGTATTGTTTTATTTTTGAATGCAGTTTTTTTTGTATATAATTCTACATTTGTAAGTTCAACTTTCCTGATTAAAGAGATTGCACTACAGTACTTGTATTAGGTGAATTGAAAAATACTATTTCTTTTGTTTTTTACAGTGCAAATATTTGTAATAAAAATAAATATAAAGTTAGAATTGTACACTTTGTATTCTGTTGTAATTGAAATCAATGTATTTGAAAATGTAGAAAACATCCAAAAATATTTAAATAAATGGTATTCTATTGTTTAACATTGCGATTAATCGTGGGAGTAACATTTTTAATCGCTTGACAGCACTAGTTTAAAGGCTTGTAAAATTGTCATAAACTGCATGAAGAATGTATAGACATGACTCTTGAGAAATAATAAAACATAGAACTCATACTAAATTACACATGTTCTAACATTTCTTAAACCTTTTACAAATGCATAAATTGCCTTTTTATTTTGAAACAGGCCTTTAACAAGTACAAAAGGGAAGGATTTTGCCTCCAGAATGTTGACAAGGCACCTCTTGCTAAAAGAAGGAAGATGAAAAAGACAAGTACAAGCACAGAGACGCGTAGCAGTTCCAGTGAAAGTTCACATTCTTCCTCCTCTCATTCTCATGGTAAAATTACACCAACAAAAACCCTGCAGCCAACAAATCCTGCAGACAGCAATAACCCAGAAACCATCTTCCAGTTCTCTGACTGAAAAGCAGAGAAATATCCTTTCTTGAACAATTAAGAGGTGATAAGCCTGGTAGTACCTGTCCCTCCTTGGAACAGAGGGATTACGGGGATATGTCCATTGCTTTGAACAATTTGTTTCAGTTCTGCCTTTTTAGCTTTTTGTTTCAAGACATTTGGTTTTAGTCCTAGTTCAGAATCATTGGATGTGGTATAATATTGTGAATACAACCGACATTGAACTCTCTTAGGGCTGGATTGGTGTGCAGTCTAGTCCTGAGTAAGGGGTAATCACATTGTTGTTTTATCCCTGGAGTGTGACTGAGAGGCATAATCTCCTTTCAGTTTCCCCACTGTTCCAGGGAGGGAATATACTGTAAAAGTCAATGTGTACTCCCTGAAACGCTGTGTAACTTTGCCACTAGGCATGTTGTGGGGAGCAGAGTCAAGAGCCCTCCTGCCCATCTGCATAAGGAGGGTCATAGCAGCTCTGGTTCTCTCTGCACACAAGTAATGGCGGTACAGTGCACTAAAGCAAGAGGCCATCTTACATCACTTCTAACTCCCTTGTGTTGGTGCATAGGATGGGCCGGAACCTGGACCTTATTTAGGAATTTAAGAACAGAGCTGAACATAAAAGGAGTACCATTATGCTGTTTTACAAATTTATTCTTTAAATTTGGTTTTACGCTACTCAGAATATAACAGTCTTATATTATCTAGATGCAAAAGGAATCTATGGCTAGCAAGATGAGGTGACTTTGCACTGTAATGCTATTGTTTATTTGTTTTTCTAGAAAATATAAATTTTTAAAAAACTTTTCAAGCTCCAAAATCCAGTGATATAACAGAGAAAAGAAGTTGAAATTTAGTACTGAACATTTTTTTAAAAATGGTCATGTGTTCAAATATCTATTTCAAGGAACAGTTATAATGTATTGTGTTTATCTTTTATATTTCTATGATAACTTGAAGATACCAAGAGGAATCTTTTTTTAAAAGATGCAGAAACGCCAAATTCCATTTTTGTTATCATGGGGTCCATATTGAATGCATGCCAACTTATGTTTTTAATTTTGCATTGCACAAATATGGCAGTTAGCTTAATACTGATCGTAAAATATTCAAATATATTTTTCTTGCTTGTGCTTTATAAAACACCTGAATGATTTTGATGTTTTCTCATGGAGTGTATTTGGGATCCCACAAGGTGTTGCATGCTGCTCTGAGATGCTGAGTGTCCTTAAGTCTCACTGATTTCAGCGGGAGTTGTGGGCTCTGAGCACCTTTGGAGGAGTGCTCAGCACCTGGCAGGAATGAAACCCTGTACCTTCGCCATTTTTTTTCATTCCTTACATTACATTTCCTTCCTCACATCTTGCTTCTATCTTGTACATAATAAATAACTAGACTTGGGCATGTTGTATAGTGTAGTTGTAAAGCACTTATGCACTGGGAAAACTAAAGGGAAATTATACTAAACACTGTGTTTCACAACTGTACACTGTTGTACTACAGTGAGGTATTTCCTGCTGTAGTAGTATATTATGTACATAACCTGTTTGGAGTCATAAATATGTGACTTTTACTGAAACATTTCCATAGATATACTTTTAAATTGAATAGCATATTTTGTAAACTTATGCAGAGCATTTCTACTACTCACCTTCTGAATGACTAGGGACAACTATTAAGTGCTAAATAAGACCCCAGTTCTGTAAACAATTACACATGTGAGTCATCTCATTAAAGTCAATGAGACTACTGGTGTAAAGTACATGTGTAATTGTTAGCATGGTTGGAACCTAGTTGACTAACAGATTTTATTAACAGCTTGCTGCATTTTAAAGTAAACTTAATCCAAACCCTATGCAAAAAGGATATGGGAATTGTTTATGTCAATGGTTTTATTTATTTAATTACATCAGATAACAGTGTTGAGAAATCTTATGCAGCCATGTTTACAAGGACTGTGTTTGACAAAACCAAGAGGCCCAACATTTGTTCTGTGTTGCTTTAATATTATTAATGACAGCATTTTGAGGATTTGAGAATTACTGATGTGAATTACTTAATTTACTACTTTCTTGACATGAGTGTCAGTAGTAATTGCAGCATTAATTTTAGGTTGATGTGAATATTGAGACATTTGCACTGTTTATGTAGAATTAGTATATTTAATCTTAAAAATCAGTATATATGCTGGTAACACAAACAATTTAAAGTGGCTGGTGTTAAGATATTTTAAACTAATATTAATATAATATTCAGATTTGCTTTCTGAATACTCTCTTGGGAGTAATCTCAGTAATAAATACAACTCATTTGTAAACAAATACATTCCCTCTCCCCAGTAAACCTCCAGTAAATACAAAGAAACCACAGCAACAATTAATATTTATTATGCAAACAGCACTAACAAATTGCAATGCCGACTGTTTGTAATGATCAGTAAACCGCACTTTGAGATATTTTTGCTGTACAGTTTTTCAAGTACTTTTTAAACAAAAACAAAAAGGGTTCTAAATGGAAAAAAAATTGGAATTAAATGACCCTGCTGAATTTAACAATTTAAAATAAGGGGATAATAAAATGTGTTCCCTTGCTTGGGAAACTTGAAGAAATGACTTTTTATATTAGAATAACTTTATGGACAATTGCTAAAATTGACTAAAAGAGTGATCATTTCATTCTGAGGAAAGTGCAGTTGTATTTTCATTGTTTTATCGCACAGGCATTTATGAAATACTTCATTATGCCATTTTTAGACTATTGGGACTCTGTAATTATTACAGCTCACAGTAATGGATACACATCTCTTGCATAAAAGACATTTTCTTTTATACAAGGATATTTGGATGCAAGGTCTGCTTTTCTTTTGTGCTATACTGGTATAGTGTTTTGCCTATCACCTATTTAATTTTTAATATGAGGACGAACAATACTCAGTCACATATAAATATCATGGACCTGATTCTTCATTGCCCTTTGCCTTGTGCAGTCATTTATGCCTATGCAAAGTGGGTGTAAAATTTTGCCACACCATAATATTAGGACTAGATTCTCATTTATGCTAAGACTACTTTACACCACTCTATTAGTGGAAAAGGGCACTAAGTGGGTGTAAATTACATTTATAATTTAAAGTACTTTTAAACCACTGCACAAGGTGGAATCAAGCCCCATATATTTCTAATTGTATGTATACTTCTAGATTTCTCTCTAATTAGCACAAAATACTAAATTCAGCCACATTTATTAAGAGGAAGTATGGCAAATGTTACTGACAGATTCTAATTCAATTTGAATTTATATCTCTCCATTCCTTCCAGATTATTTGGTGCAGTCAACAGTACTAGGAAGAGCAGTAGATTAGTTTCTTGAAAACCCAGTTCTTTAACAGTATAGCTCTAAATAACTATTTACTTTTATTTATATTAACATATTTTAAAAAAAAACAAAATATTTAGTTGTACAAATAAACTATTTATTTGTTCTGAGAACTTACTGTTTTTAAAAATACAAACGGTAACAATTTAGGGCTAGATATGAAAAAAGCAGAAGGCTTGGAGTAGGAAAAGCACAAAACCAGAGTTTTACTTGACTTTTTACTTCTCAGAATAAATTAAATTCCTCCTTCTCACACAAAGAGCAATCTATCCTTAATTTAGAGGATTGTTTCTTCATAGAAGGTCAGACAAAATACTTAATACACTTATCTCACATGTACAGTAATTTTACTGCAATGGATAATTGTTATTGTTCTTCAGAAGAGCATAAAAATACAGGTTTCAGAGTAGCAGCCGTGTTAGACTGTATCCGCAAAAAGAACAGGAGTACTTGTGGCACCTTAGAGACTAACAAATTTATTAGAGCATAAGCTTTCGTGGGCTACAGCCCAAGATGGCTGACATTTCCCATCTTTCCAGATTGACATTACTGATGCACCTGTTTTCGCTGCCCTTCTAAACAAAATAATTTATACCAGCACAGCCACATTCCCCTTCTGCTTCTTCCAGAATATACTTAAAGGAATAGATTCACACAGTTGTCATGTATGTGTTTTATCAGTATTCTAAAGAATTGTTACTATATAAGTATCATTCTCAATTTTTAACAAGAAGTGTGTATATATTTTATTTTTTTAATAGTTATTTGGTCTTCAATTATAATTTTTTGTTGTGGTATTATGCCTTAAGCATCATACCTAGGGCACTACCAAATTCACGGTCCATTTTGGTCAATTTCACGGTCATAGGATTTTAAAAGTCATAAATTTCATTATTTCAGCTATTTAAGTCTAAAATTTCACAGTGTTGTAATTGTAGGGGTCCTGACCCAAAAAGGAGTTGTGGGGGGGTCACAAGGTTATTGTAGGGGGAATTGCAGTACTGCTACCCTTACTTCTAAGCTGCTGCTGGCAGCAGAGCTGCCTTCAGAGCTGGACAGCTGGAGAGTGATGGCTGCTGGCCAGTATCCTAGCTCTGAAGGCAGCACCACTGCCAGCAGCAGTGCAGAAGTAAGGATGGCATGGTACAGTATTGCTACCCTTATTTCTGTGCTGCTGCTTGCAGAACTGGACCCTCAGTCAGCAGCCACTACTCTCTGGCCCCCCAGCTCTGAAGGCAGCAGCGCAGAAGTAAGGATGGCATGGTATGGTATTGCCACCCTTACTTCTGCACTGCTGATGGCAGGGCACTGCCTTCAGAGCTGGGCACCTGGTCAAAAGCTGCTGCTCTCCTGCTGCCCAGCTCTGAAGGCAGCACAGAAGTAAGGGTGGCAATACCTCCACCCAACTAAAATAAACTTGCAACCCCCCTGCAACTCCCTTTTGGGTCAGGACCCCCAATTTGAGAACTGCTGGTCTCCCCCATTAAATCTATATATTATTAGGTAAAAGCACACAAAAGACCAGATTTCATGGGAGGAGACCAGATTTCATGGTCTGTGACGCGTTTTTCATCGCTGTGAATTTGATAGGGCCCTAATCATACCGGAGGCTTTGGCTCAGTCTTCCTGATCATG